ATGGCCTCCCCTCATACTTAAAATCCAACGCCTTTACCATACTTACGCCTTTACCATACTTACCAGGCTCTCTTGTCCTCAATTTCTGTCATTCTTTTCCTCATTACTCCTTCTCAGCATACAGCAGTCATCTTTCTATCACTTAATCACTGCCCTCTGACCAAAGACCACCAGGAACACATCTATAGAACAAAGGTGGATTGTGTTGACTCATGGCAAGGGGGGAGAGAAGTGTGTTTCTTCTCAGTAAAAGGTCGGGGAACATGGAAAACTGTGTTTCAACTCAGTAAATAGGTGTTAAAAGGAACTTGTTGTTGGATTTTGGCTTGTATTAGTGATTTGGGGGAGAGTTCTAGGAAGCAGGACTATCTGGAAGTGAGAGTAATCTGTGATTTGGCAGTTTAATAATTTTTATATCTAAGGCAAGAGGAAGGAAGGAAGAGCTAAAACTGTAATTGTAAAGAAGTAGCAGCCACTCCTCCAGGAAAGAAGTGTTTGGTGTTTTGGTGTTTTATGGTTTGGGTCACAACATTTGTTTGGGGTTTCTGAACTGAGATACGATGACGGAGTGATCTTGTTCTTTCTTTGGTTTATCATCATCCCAGGGTGGCTTTGTCTAATGTTGGTGGTTTGAGGTATTGTTTGTGTTCAACAAAAGAATACAATAGCAAGTCCAGATCCTACACCAAGGCCCAGCTGACAGTACTAAGCTAGCTCCTGGCTGTCAGGAGCTTCTCTTCTCTTTCTTATCATGAACATGTGAAATATGCTCACTTTAGAACCTTTGTACTTTTTTTGGTCTCTTCTGCTTGGTATATTCCTCTTCAAATACTCATTCTGCTTACTCCATCATTTCATTTAGACCTAAGCTCAAATGTTATCTTAGGGAGGCCATCTCTGTCCATTCTTTCTCTGAAATAACATTTTCAGAACTTGCTATTCCTTCACCCTGCTCTATTTTTCTCCATGGCACCTAGAACTACTTAACTTTATATTATGTTTTAATTGTATTGTATTGTATTGTCTTGTCTTGTATTGATTTTGAGACAGCGTCTCACTCTGTTGCCCAGGCTGGAGTGCAGTGGTGTGATCTTAGCTTACTGCAACCTCCACCTCTTGGGTTCAAGTGATTTTCCTGCCCTCAGCCTCCCGAGTAGCTGGGACTTACAGACACATGCTACCATGCTTGGCTAATTTTTATATTTTTTGTAGAGGCAGGGTTTCACCATGTTAGCCAGGCTGGTCTCGAACTCCTGGCCTCAAGCGATCCGCCCACATTGGCCTTCCAAAGTGCTGGGATTATGGGCGTGAGTCACCATGCCTGGCCTATTTATTTTATTTTTACCTATCTTTCCTGCTAGAATATACAGTCCTCAGGAGCATGGATTACATAGATCACAATGTGAATGGTGCCCTCTGGAGTCGTGAAGTGTCATCCTGCTTTGACAGGGGCCTTGTCTCTTCTCTTTATACATTTATCCCCATCAGTCAGAACACTACCCTGTGTTCACTTGGTCCTTGGTAAATATCTGACAATGAATAAGTGTTTAGAAAGAGGACATTGTATCTGATCAATCCTTTGTGGGGTGGGGGTGTCCAGTGTACTCTGAACAGTGAGAACAAGAGGATAACAAGAAATAATCATTTAACATTATCCTATTAAAGTATTGTATAATTGCTTAGAGTACAATTTATATGAATTCATGTTCTTACATTCTTTTTACTCTCAATTTCAATTGTAGGGATCAAAGGAAGCAGTTCCAGGTACTGGTAGAGAACAAGTTTTATGAATGGTTGATTAATACAGGACATCGCCAACAGCTGGATAGCCTTGTACCCCCTGCAGCAGGCTCCAAACAAGCGGCTGGATAAGGATCTTACATGCAAACACTGGTAGGCATTTCTACCACTTAAAACAGATTCTTTTGGGGAAATCTTTCAAGCATAATTAAAAAGGCACAGAATATTATATACTAAACATGCCCAAATTTTCTTCTACCACTCCTACCAGCATACACAGACCTTTGTGTACCCATATTTACCATATTTTATAGTGAGAAAACCTACCAAAATATTCAGATGGAGCCTGTAGAATTTGGGGCCAATATAATGGCCAAATTTTGTCTTTTTTTGCTTTTTGCCTGGCACAAGTTATATTGTCCAAAGATACCACATTCCCCCATACATAGTTTTGTTATTAACGACAGTCACCATGTTGTACATTAGATCTCTTAAATGTATTCCTCCTATCTAACTGAAATTTTGTAACCAAAGATATTGGATGTGGCATTGTTTGAAAAAACTGTAGACTAGAAACACCCCAAATGCAATGTATTTATATGCTAATTATATGCCTAACAATCTTTGAAAGAATATAAATAAATTATAAACAGTGTTTGTCTTTGAGGAATGAGATTGGGTGTCTAGGGTAGGAGAAAACTTCTTAAAAATTTTATTGAGATAAAATATTACCACATAACATTATGGGAAGTAAAATTCACCTTTTTAAAGTAAAGAATTCAGTAGTTTTTAAGTATATTCACAAGTTTGCGCAACTGTCACCACTAAAAATTCCAGAACATTTTCATCACCCTCAAAATAAAGCTCATACACACTGTAGGCCACTCCTCATTCCTCCAACCCCCTGTATTTCCTCTTCCCCTTAGCCCTTGACAACCACTAATCTACTTTGTCTATTTTGAACATTTTATGTAAATGGAATCATGTGACATGTGACTTCTTATGTCTGGGTTCTTTCACTTAGCCTACTATTTTCAAGATTGATCCATGTAGCCATGTATCAGTACTGCATTCTTTTTCATGGCCAGATAATATTCATTGTGTGAATCTACCATTTTGTTTATCTGTTCATCAGTTGATGGACATTTGGCTTGTTTTTACTTTTCAGCTGTTGTGAGTAATGCTCTGTGTACATTTGTGTACAAGTTTTTGTGTAGACATTTGTTTTTATTTCTCATGGGTATATACCTAGAAGTAGAATTGTGAGGAATATGTTTAACTTTTTAAGGAACTGCAGTTTTCCAAAGCTGTAAAAGTGTATTTTTTACTTTATATATTTACATTTCTTAAGGATGTATTTTTTAAAAGAATTTAGCAATATTTATTCATAAATACTGAGAATTAAGAATTAGCAGTTTTGCTGAGCACAGTGGCCCATGCCAGCGCTTTGGGAGGCTGAGGTGAGAGGATCTCTTGAGGCCAGCAGTTCAAGACCAGCCTGGGCAATCTAATGAGACCCTGTCTCTACAAAAAATTTAAAAATTAGCTGAGCATGGTGGCACATGCCTGTAATCCCAGCTACTCTGGACACAGATTGGAGGATCCCTTGAGCCCAGAAGTTCAAGGCTGCAATGAGCTATGATTGCACCACTGTATTCTAGCCTGGGCAACAGAGTGAGACCCTATCTTTTAAAAAAAAAAAAAAAAAAAAAATTAGAAATCTGATGGAGATTATGCAAAAGAAATGTGAACTATAAGCAGGTAAAAATTTTTGTTTAATCTTCACTGCTTAACAATTTTTTTGTATTCATGTATGAATTTCTCTTTTATTATGATCTAACATTACACCTAGCAAAAAGGAATGTTACTAATCTTAAACTTTGTGTATTTTACATTCTAATCTATCGTTTGACCTTGATAATTTATGTGGTTTTTTAAACATAGAGTTTTAAAATCATTTACATGAAGACAATAGAAAATTAAGTGATTAATATTATTTTTTCTTTGATCTTCAGGGCCCTGGAAATACAAGGATAAATGGAGGATGGTGCTCATCTTGAAACTAAATTGGGAAGGTGCTCTTGCTGCTTAAGAGACATTGGGACTTTTCTGTCCTTTTTTTCTTTTTTTTTTTTAAGATAGTCTCGCTCTGTTGCCCAGCCTGGAGTGCAGTGGCGGGATCTCTGCTTACTGTAAGCTCCGCCTCCCGGGTTCAGGCCATTCTCCTGCCTCAGCTTCCTGAGTAGCTGGGACTACAGGCGCCCGCCACCACACCCGGCTAATTTCTTTTGTATTTTTAGTAGCGACGAGGTTTCACTGTGTTAGCCAGGATGATCTCGATTTCCTGACCTCGTGATCCACCCGCCTCGGCCTCCCAAAGTGTTGGGATTACAGGCATGAGCCACCACACCCAGCCTTCTGTCCTACTTAAGAACTTTGATTTCCATTCCATATTCATTTATTACTGTGTAGGCTGAATTTTCGCTAAACTTCTGACTTTTATATAAATGTATTGTTTATAGAACATCAGAAGACTCATCTTTGTGATGCCCAAATGAAAAAGTTGGTGAAGGTAGTACCATTGTATGTATGTTAATATTAAAGCAACTGAGTGTAGATTTGCAACTATAGTATGTATCTTCATTTGTGTGATGAAAGAATTTTATTCTTTCTAGAGTTAAATAAGAGTTTTACAGTTCTTTGTAACTATTTAAAAGGAAATTGCTACTCCTTTTAAAAAATAATTGGAAAGAAAGTATGATGTGTTGGTATATAGATATAGCAGAAATAGTTTTATACTATATTTCAGTCCTTAAAGTATGGAACTTAATGAAATTGTGTAAAAAAATCTTTATTTTTCACGTCCTGCTTCAAATTTTCAATAAACAAACTCCAAAGAAATATTTCCTATTTTTGTAAAAGATATAGCTTTACTTTTAATTTTAGAAAAGGTTTGCAGTGTTATTCCTCAAAATGTCAAGTAAAGTTTCCATTTGACTGGGAAAACCTTCTTTCAGATAAGTGAGTGAAATTGTCAAATTACCAAACGAGTGAAACGAATCAGATTGCTGATAAACATTGGTTCGTATGCTCTCTGGCCATTTAATTAGTAATTCTATCAAAAAAGTCTTTTGTATTTCTAAAGTAAAAATTAACCCTCAGAATGTTTAATTCTAATTGAAGTTTACATAGTTTTTATTTTAAGAAGAAATTTAAGAAGCAGACTATTACCGAATAAACACTGGAGTAACAGAAATATATTTTAGATATTGCTATTTGTTAATGAAATAAATGATACTCAGACATTTTTTTAAAGTTTATAAAATTCAGAAAACTAAGCATATAGCTTAATATTTTCTCAGTAATCTTTATATCAAGGCACATTTGCCATTTTCTGAATTGACCATAATACCTCCCATTTATTAAGATATTTGTTGGATAGTTTTATTAATAGAAAGATGAGGAAGTTGGACTTTTGAGAATATACTTGATCAGTTAAAGTTAAAAATGGAGAAAAGTTAATTTGTTGTTGTTGTTGTTTTGTATTTACATAAGATGCAATCTCATTCCTAAAGTCAGAGGTGTATTAGGGCCAAAAAATGTTCTCCGAACAGGTTTGAATGTTGTATTATGGGCAAAGAAGACCACCTAGCCGGTAGCAGGTTGTGTTTAATTAGGTAACCCTTGGCAAATTCAGGAGTCCCAAGTCACTTTTATACATACAGTGGCACCCTTCTTATGAATTAGAGCTCTTTTTCTAAAAAGAAATTGTGTTTTGAAAAAATTAAATAATAGTTGCAAGAATAAGTCAGTGAACTGTAACATACCCTTTATCTAGATTCGATTTGCCAGTTGTTAACATTTTGCTACATTCTCTTTACCACTCTTGACGTGATAGTATTGTTTTATTTTTGCGCAACAATTTGAGAGTTAGGTTGCAGACATCTTGAACCTTTCTTCTAAATGATAGCATACATGTCCTAGAAACAGACATTCTCTTACCTAGTCATGGTACAATGATCAAATTCAAGAAGTGAAACTTTGGTACAATAGCATTATCTAATTTACAGTCCATATTAAAATGTTTCTGATTATCCCAGCAGTGTTCTTTATAGTGACTTTTTTCCCCAAACACAAGATCATGCATTGCATTTAGTTGTCATGTAAGTTTTGTTGCTTTTAGAACATGTCGCTTCTGTCCAGAATTAGAGATAGTCTTCTGACTCTTACCTCTTACAAGCTTTGTTGAAGAAAAAGGACATTAGGAATTTCAAAGAGGCTGCTTCCTATTAAAAAAAAAAGCAAAAAGGGACTCTTTTGTTTTTAATTTTTACAACTTTGTCTGGGTTTTGGTTTCTTGACTCAGCAAAGTCTATAATGCAGCAGGGCTTGGTAAGCATTAAAGGCGGTACTGAAGCTTTCCTTTATTTTATAATCCCAGTTGTTTTTTCTAGAAACCATCAATAGCGTCTAAATGACTGACTCAATTTTTGGATCCTGTTCTCATGACTAAGCAAATGTTTGACTGAAACCAGCCCATATAAATGTCACTGTGCCTCTAACTCTCTGTAGCCATTCCTGAATTTCTTTCAGCACTGGGCAAACCAGTCTGTGCACCAAAAATGTCTAAAACTGGAACCAAGGTAAGTAGTCATATTGATTTTTAGCCTACCCACTTTTCACCTAATGATACATTAAACACACAGAAAAGCTTTTGCTTTTTTGCCTAGAGGTGAGTATGATAGTGGTTAGAGAACTGGGATTGAGAGAGAAGATTAAGAAATGCTTATTATATTCTCTACTCTTAACAGAATTACCAAACATTATTAAGGGTTTATCTTTATGTACGGTGCTATGTTGAATACTAGACAGGTAAATAATTTATAAATATCACTATTATTTCTGCCTTCTAGCAACTAATATTCTATGCAACTGATATTCTCCATAGGAATAAGACATGCTAATGGGGATTATATGGAGAAGAAAACTTTTAATAATCAATTAAAATTTTGTTTTCTGAAATATAGCCTCAACCATTAGTGTTCTAAAAGGCCAAAGTGGATGGGCTAATCAGGTGAATAAACTCCTACATCTCTCCTTCATTCAAGCAATTATTTTTACTTGTTCCCCAAATAAAGTGCTCCCTTTTAGTCAGAAAATTGCCTCTAAAGTATTTGACTCACGATTGCTGGATTGGAAATTATTCTCTCAGGTAGGGCTTTGGGAATGAGGGAATATGCCTTCATCTTCTTTTTAGCTCTTCCACTGATGAGACAAAACCGCTGCGTGATTTTTACCCCCAGCTATTCGAAAATTTTCAAACCCATTGAATCTTCAAAGAATGGGAAAGAAATGTTGAATGAATATTTGTTTATCTTTCACTTATATTCTCCAGTTGTTGACATTTTGCCATATTTGGTCTCTCCTATCTCCATCTCTTTCTCTTTACTAAATCATTTGAAAATTAGTAGCAAACTTTATTATACTTTTGCCTTGAGTATTTAGGCATGTATCTCCTAAAAACTAGGGCATTTCCCTGTATAAACACTGTATCATTAGCGTGTCCCCAAGATTTACCATAAATACAATAGCTAATATTGAGACCATATTCAAATCTCCCCTGATCGTCCCCAGAAACGTGCTTCATGGTGGCCTTTTCCCCAATACAGGATCAAAAACGTGTATTGCACTTGGTTGTCATGTCTCTTTATTCTCTTCAATTTTTTTAGCCTCTCTAAAAAAGTCCCCCTACCCTTTTGTTGTTGTTGAGACACTGACATTTTTCAGAACCTAGGTTAGATGTCTTTTAGGAAGTCTTGCAATCTAGATTTGTCTAATTGTTTCCTCATGTTTAGATTCAGAATAAATATCTTTGCCAAGAAAGCTACATAGGCAATGTTGTGTACTTCCTGTTGCATCATGTCAGAGGTACCTGTTAGCTTGTTCTGTAATTTAGTGTCTTTAGTGCTCTGAGGTTCTTGAAAATATACCATGCAAATCCACTAAAAAAGAATTTTAAGTCCTTAAAGGAGGGATATCCATGTGTCTTGAGGTAAAGCTGTTATACAGCCATCTTAGATGAAAACATCTGCTTTTAAAGATTTGCAGAGCAGTAATAGTGTACTCTTTTTTATTTATAGCTGAGTTGTTCATTTAGTTAAATAACTTTTGCTTGCTAGGGTAAAGGAGATAGTAAATTATTTCTTACTCTTTCTCATTGCTTCTTCCTTTCCCACTATCCTGCTAGCAGTTTAATCAGAGGAGTTATGGGCTTGGCAAAAGGAATAGATTTAACTAAGTATGTTTTCATTACCTCTGGGATACTCAAGACATTTTTCTCTCTGCTGTATTGGATTAGTAGGCCATTTTTCCACAAATAAACCTAATAATGATAGGAATTTTGTAACAATTTCTGAGAAAACTTTCTGCACATTTCTTAGCCTTCTCTACAAAATGTTTTGCCCAAGGGTCAAAACCTCTAAGCTGACAATAGCATGGATTTCATGGTTATTCTACAAATAGAAATTGAGCACAGCTCGGTGCAACATTCTCTGGCTCTGAGATATAGAAGGTCTCCCACTGAAAAGAGAGCTTAGTCTTGGAGCTCAGTAATGATTCCATAGCAACAGGGTGAGGGCTTTGTTTCAACTGTTGGATGGTTGGCTGGTCTCCTGGGAGGGTGGACATCAGGTGACCTTATCAGGTGTCATGTATATTTTTACTTAGCAGGTATTGATAATTAGTCAAGCAAATGTGCAGAAGGCAGTAAATGTGAGAAACTATGAAGTGAAATCAATAGTATTATTAACTTCATTTCCCGTAGGATATCTTTTGCAAAGGCTCTTCTTGGTGACTATTTGGTCAAAAACCAAAGGCAAATAGAACATATGAATTAAGGAGTTTAGAATCTATCCATTCTCAGATAAGTTATTTGACCTTCCTAAAGATCTCTCCACAGGTCACGAGGAAGGGCCCCTCAGGCTTAGGCCCAGCCTTGTTTCTTGTCCAAGAGAGTAAGTGCTGCCATGTTAAACGAAGCTAACTGTGCAGGCAGAAAGACAGCAAAGGAAAAGAAAGTGAACAATAGATTACTCACCAGGAGTTTTGCACTGCAGCTCACCAGCTTGTCTGCAACTAACTTGTAACTAGGTAGTGACATTAGGCCAATCACTTAACTTCTTCATCTGTAAAAACTGTAGCAAAAGCTTATTGCCAATTGTGAGTCAGCTATTAAACTAAGTACTTTATCAACATCCCCTTGGACCCTCAGAACATACCATCTGCAAGAGACACTGTCATGCTGTTTTGCAAATGAAGAGCTGTAGAGTAAGGTTAATTGCCCTGTCCAAGGTCACATGGCAAGAAAGCAGTAGTACTGGGTTTTTTTTTTTTTTCTTCATCCATAAACTGAGGTGCCATGTATCTAAATCTATATACTGTGCTAAGATGGGAAGGGAACTGAACACATAAAGAAATTTGGGCAGGGGGTAAAGGAGATGAAGTAGATGATTTAGGGGTGGGAAGGAAAAACGACCCTTTTAGGGAACAGGAAAGAGAATAGTTGAAATAAATGGGAAGGGAAGGGAAAGATTAAGGTGGAGGGAAATAATTATTAGTATATTAGTATCTAGATAGAAAGAAATACCCAGGGTAGAGGAGAATGAGGTTTTATGCCTTTTTGTGAGTCATTCTTGGTTTCTTCCTCTCCTCATTCCCTCCATCTAATTAGTCACCAAATCCTGAAGTTCTTTACTGGTTTCTCATCATCATTCACATTGGAGTTGCATTTTGGTTGGCCGTCATCATATCTCACCTGGCCCACAGCAGCCATCTGTTTCTAGACACACACTACTAAGTCCAACTCACTCATAATCACCAAAGGGATTCCAGCGTGGTTCTTGTGTCATTTTTCTGGCTTTATTTTCTAGTACTTCACCACATGTTCAATATGTACTGGGTTTAATGAACTACTTATTGTCCCTATAATGGGCCATGTTCTTTCACTTCTTTATTCTTTTGAACATGTTTGTTCCTTTTCATTTGCCTCTGGAAAATACCTACTTATCCTTCAATCCTCAGCTCAAAGATCCTGTCAAGACAATACCTGGCTCTGCTCCTTTCATCTGAAATGACTCACATAATTTTCTCCCTTGAAGTCCATAAAGTAAATCAGCCACAAGGTGGCAGCATAATGCCAGGTAATTAACTGTTCAAAGCATGACACCTGTGATTTCAGTTTATAACCTAGCATTGATCTGAAATTCCATCTTAAAAAAAAAGAAGATGAAAATATTGTGGAATTATTGAATAACAAGGGACAAGCTCTGTAGCCCATTTGTAGTTTTCATCATGGTTTTCAGGAACCGCTTGGTGAATCCTTGGGAGTTCCCAGGAACTCTGTCTCCTGTTTTAGCCAGAAAAGCTCTGAGAGTTGTTTTAAACCCTGGACTTCCAGTCTGCTGTAGTCTTCAAATAGGAAGCTGAAGCTCAGAGAGGTGGCTGGATGAAGATCGTAAGGCTAATCGTGGAGAGAGAGCTCTGTAGTCCAGACTTACTGTTTCTGGTTTCACAGGGCTGCATATTTTTCAGTGCCATCAGAGACTTACCCCAGGCATTGTGGTAGAAACTTGATAATTGGAGGCAAGGAGCATTCTTGCCTTATCATTTTGTTACTTTGCAACTACTCTGTTGGCAATAAACTAATAATAAAGAACATAATATGATATATTTTCATATATGAAATCTCTACATCCATCTAAAATAAGCTCTCTAAAGCTAAGGTTTATGTTTTATTTTTCTCTTTGTATCTTCCATATCACCTAGGAGTCATTCATCTTCATGAAACAATTATTGAAGTCAAGTGATGGGCATAGAGGATTGATAGCTCAAATAAGGCTTGGAAAAAGTGTACTTGCCTTGGAAAAAGTGTACTAGGATTCTGGTGGGAGGCGTAGACATATAAATGGATAATTTATAATATAATGTGGTAAGTACAGAGAGCTGTGGGAACATAAAGGAAGGAAGATGAACTTGAGTCTGAGACTGCTCGCTTCTCTTAGAGCCCTCTTCTGTTTTGCTTCATGTTCAGCTTTCAGGAAGTACTCATTTCTGTTGTTGACAACTGAAGTTGTCTGTCAGAAAGCAATGTTGTAAGGTGACATACAACTACATATTTTTCCTCAAAATTGAGGAGAAAGAAATTTCTAAAGTAGGCATTATATTCCTAATTTTTATCTGTGAATTAAGCCCCCCAACTCCTCAGCTCTTTCTCTGTTGGCACTCTACTTCAGATTACCTTCTATGAAGACAAAAATTTTCAAGGCCGTCGCTATGACTGTGACTGCGACTGTGCAGATTTCCACACATACCTAAGTCGCTGCAACTCCATTAAAGTGGAAGGAGGCACCTGGGCTGTTTACGAAAGGCCCAACTTTGCTGGGTACATGTACATCTTACCCCAGGGAGAGTACCCTGAATACCAGCGTTGGATGGGCCTCAATGACCGCCTCAGCTCCTGCAGAGCTGTTCATCTGGTGAGTCTGGGGACTGTGCAGTCCCTGTCTTTCCCATACCCTCTGTCTGCTTTCTCTTGGTTTTAGGTGAAAATTTTCTTGAGTCTTTTCTACCTCTAAATGAGTAGCTGCTTGTTGGCTGCTGGGGCTTGAATAACATCTTAGAGCAGTTCATCACAAGAATGACTACACTAATTTCCAGGGTGCTCTCTCTGCCTCTTGAGTGTTTTGAAGAATTAATTTTTTCTTACTGAAAGTTAGCTGTTTTAATCAGTACATGGTGAGATGGGAGTTCAGATCATCTAGCTTTCAAGGTGATAAGTTCTGAGCAATACTGTTCTCTAAGTTCTTGAGCTGCTGGTGATTTCCGTAATGGTTTCTGTTCATTTTCTCCTGTGTCTTTTCAGCCTAGTGGAGGCCAGTATAAGATTCAGATCTTTGAGAAAGGGGATTTTAATGGTCAGATGTATGAAACCACTGAAGATTGCCCTTCCATCATGGAGCAATTTCATATGCGAGAGATCCACTCCTGTAAGGTGCTGGAGGGTGTCTGGATTTTCTATGAGCTACCCAACTACCGTGGCAGGCAGTACCTCCTGGACAAGAAGGAGTACCGGAAGCCCATCGATTGGGGTGCAGTTTCCCCAGCTGTCCAGTCTTTCCGCCGCATTGTGGAGTAATGACATGAATGGGGCCATATTCTTCCTGAGGCCCAAATGCTGGCTGGCCTTGTGGTCCAAATAGGCATCATCAATAAAACAGTTGGCATGCATCCCACTGCTGACTATAACGCCTCTCCTTAAATGCTTCTAGGGACCAGCAATATAATGCTCGCCATGGTGGGCAGTTACACTAAGCAACACATCTACCAGATCACCGATCTAGATCTTTGTGCCAAACAAAATGAGTCTCATTAAAAGGTTAGAAAGTCATACTGCCATGTGGTGGTTCCTTTTGTTTATGTTTTGCATTAAATCAACAGGCACAGTAATAATGGCTACCATTTATTGAGTGCCTACATTATTTCATTTTCTCTTTACAACCCTGAGAGAGGTAGTTTGTCTGTATTTTATAAATAAGGAAACTGAGAGAAATTTAAAATTTGCCCAAATTCACCAGTTGGTGAATGGAGGAGCCAGGATTCAGCCCGGGCTACTTCTGCTCCCAAAATCATTGTTCTTCTTTCTAACACATGCATTCAACATGTTGGCTGGAGATCTGTGCATGTAGTGTCTGTAGAAGCCCCTGAAAAATTTTAAAGGTAGAAAAGAGAGGGTCCACTGATGTTCCAATTGAGGGAACAGAGTCTCTATCAAGAACAACCAGTGAAAACAGGGTTATTATTTGAAAATGATGGAGCCATAAGCCATCTGAAGTCCTTGTTTAAGATCCAAAGACTGCTGTGTTAGTTACTTCTTAACCCTAAGTTTAGACTTTTTGTGTAAAGAAAGGACATATTAAAAATGTCCCTATGTTATAATAGTTGAAATGGGAGTTTTATTAAGTGTTACTTGCTTTGAGTAACCCCTGAGATTTTATTTAATCTTGAAGAGGAGAATGATGAAGGAAACAGTATGACCAGGAGTATTTAGTGAGCATTCAGGTGAACCTGGGGATATGCGGAATGCACCCATCTGTAAACAAGATAGCAAAGCCCCTGTCGTCTAGGAGCCTTCCCCAAAAGGACAAATTAGATTAGAATTGCTAAATTCCCTTTGGGTATACTCTGTAGTGTATAGTGCACAGTTGCCCCAAAATATGTTTATTCATATTATTATCTTCCCCTCCCTTTTGTCATTTTGTCTGTTTCAAGTGAGAGACTGAAAAAAAGTGGGTATAAGTAAGGGAGGGAAACATGACAAATGGAGAAGGAATGGGAAGCCATTTGCTGGGCTGCAGAGAGCTCTGGCCTGTGAGCTGACTGCAGCCATGAGCTCTCAATCTTGTCACCATACTATGAAGCTACCTTTCCTTATCTCCAAAACAAGGGAGTTGAGCCAAATGCTCTCTAGAGTCTCATCTAACACAAACATTCTCATTCCCCAGAGACCAGCAGGAGGACACTAAAAAACTAGCTGATGACCAAGGACTACTGACACTTAGTTTTAGAGGCACAATTTTCAGAAAAGACCTCAGAGATCCACTGATTTTTTGCCAAAGAAATAGGCTGTGGTAACTGAGTTAGTATCAGTCTCTTTTCTCATATCAACTGCTTGCCATGTTCTTTGGTGAGTTGGTCACGGTCTGTTCAAAACAACTAGAAAAGCAGCTCTGGCAGCAGGATAGGAAAACAAGAAGTGTCAGGATGACTAACCACAGTTACAGAGAAGTAGAAGATGACTTTTGACAGATAAAAGCAGGATTATTATTTTGGAGTGTTGCATGCCTCCTGGTTCATGCCTTGGTCTAGAAAGAGATTGCTATCATTTTCTCCAGCTGCAGACACACCAATCAACTTTAGGCTTAAAAGGAATTTGACTAACAATTGATATTAGAGGTCAAAAACACTTTATATCCTTATCTGTCAGTCAGTCCCAGCTCTTTTGGTAGAACATTCAGCTGTTAGGACAAGAAGCCGGTGTCTTACCTGCCACCCACACCCAGAACAGCACCTGATAATTCAGTTATCTCCCCCTACCTTTCATTGTTTTATCGCTCTGAAATGGGGGATCTCAATAAAATAAAGCAAGGACACCCTTAAACCATTTTGGCCCTATTTCCATCACAAGAATTTCTCTAAGACAAGTCTGAATATTCCCATATATGAAGCTCACTGTCTCAAAACAAAATATCAAAGGCTTCCATCTAGAACTTCCAAGTATTGGGATAGAAAAATAAATATAGTATAGATATGTCCCGTGTAATATTTGTAAAATTTGTCTGAAATTCAAATTTAACTGTATTCTATATTTGCTAAATCCAACAACCCTACTTCAAGGACAAGGCAAGTTACACAGGAGTGACATGGGGCTAAGAGCAGAGAGTGGTGCAAGCTGTGAAAACGAGCACATTCCCCAATAGAAGGACATTTAAATACATTTAAAAAAAAAAAAATCACTGCACACCAACAAAATACATCTGTATCTGAATGTGGCTTGTGGACCACCAGTTTCCAATCTTGGCTTGTAGGACAGCTCTGAATATCAGAAATTGTTTCTGGGATTGAGCCAAAATCTGATCCCTGAAGCTTTCAACCTGCAATCCTAGTTTTCATCCACAGGATAGCTCTTTAGGTATACAAAGATGCCTCCAGTTTGCTTCTATGGTGGCATTTTTACACTGAGCAATGTCTATTTCTTTCATCCTTTCTTTCTTGATGTGTGGGCTCCCAGACTCGTCACCATCCTGGTGCCTCTCCTCGTGCTAATGGTCATTTCTCTCTCCCCACTGTCATAGCTGTATGTAGTCTGACCAGTGCAGACTACAGCTGGAGGATTATGTTCAGTTCTTTCATCTTTTTTCTCTGATTTATACTGTTCTTAACTAAGCTCAGCTCTCCCTGTGGCCCAGCCCTGATATGGATGACTGGCTACCTTTCCCTAAGAGCCAACTCTCCAGTCAAAGGGCTAAAGAGTTCTCTTCCTCTTTTGGTAGTTAGACAGAAATGGATTCAAATTCCACCACTTCCATATGTTAGCTCTAAGTCACATAATCTAACATGTATGTATATCCTCAATTTTCTGTGAAACTAACATAACACCTAATTTGTGGGCATTAAAATGAGATGGTATGTGAAAAATACGTAGCATATAGAGTTAATTCTCATTATTTTCTGTAGTTTTACTCCATAAAAATACCCCAAACACTGAATTGCAAATACTGAACTATTGCTCTTAGATAAAATACTAGGTTAAGTTCCTGTAAGCCTCTGGTCACATTTTTGTCAACTGATCAATATATAAACTTTTTTCATATGTGTTTCTGTTTAAAGACTCTGGAATATATGTTGTTGATTTATTAACATGGAACTCAGGGCCAGCAGCACTGTAAGTGCTGCCTGAAGAAAGAGGATCTAACAGGTATCTCAGTGAGGCACATTGCAGCCTTCTCAGGCTTAGGAACACTAGACAGCCCTTCAGCACTACATTTGGGGATGTTTTCAACAGTGACATTACCAATAAAGAACAATGCAATGTAGAAAGCATGGCACTAAATAGGCTGAAAGGAGACTTGTTTACAATTTGAGAGCTGAAACGAGAAGGGGGAGCATTTGTTCAACCTTAACTGGGAATATGCTCATTGGATGACTCAGATTTTTCACTGCTCTGCTCATATCCATAAATGATCACAAGAGTGCCACAATTAGTGATTTTTGCGATTACAATGAAATTGGAGGGAGTGGGTGAATTTGCAAGTATGGAATCTACGTTATAATGAGGGTCACCAGTTCTTTACCACCATGGTTGCCATATTAGTATTGTTTCTGAGCACTAAAGTACTTCTATTATCAGATTGTGTGTGTGTGTGTGTGTGTGTGTGTGTGTGTGTTTTAACTTGTCTAGCTTTTTAAATGCCTCTTTCTATCCCCTAGTTGTTTTCAGAAAAGCATCTCTGCATTTTTGGCAGATACCCCATAATTGGGAAGAAATATATCAGAATGGTCCAACCCATCCTACTACCTTGAAAAAGAGCCATATTTTTGTTATCATAGGAGTTTAGCCTTTTCTTAGCTCTCCCATAAGCTTCTCCCTTGGTTAGCTCCCAGCAATTTCCACAGCCAGCAGAATTGTCCCTAGAGTTCACACAAGTCCCCTTTATTTTTGTCTCTCTTTTCCGAGGTTCCTCAGGAGACAGAGGGTAGCTAATCACTGAGCTTTGGGTGACGAGCTTCTGACACACACAGGAGTCCCTCATGGGTGTGACTTCAGTGTAAGGGAAACCTTTCTGTCCACAGACACCTCACACCTTTACCTCTTCCTTCAAGCCTCAAACTTCAAAGTCAGGCAATTTTAGAACAGGAGAGGCTGGGGCTTCCCCATATACTGTAAAAACAGTGAGATGGGGCTTACTAACCCTAGTTTACAGATGAGGAACTGGGGCTCAAAGAGGCTAAACAACTTGTCTGAGGTCATTGGTTCCAAAGCTCTCATTCTTTCCATGGTACCATGCAACTTCTGCTTCTCAACTCTCAAGACAGAACCATGGTAACTTGTCTATCATAGAATGAGCTATTTCTTTTTAAATAACTTTATTGAGATATAATTCACATGTCATAAATCCACCTGTTTAAAGCATACAGTACAGTGGTTTTTAGTATCCTTACGATAGAGTGTGTGTGCAATCATGACCACAGGCAATTTTAGAACATATTCCTCACCTTGAAAAGAAACCCAGTATCCTTTAGGGATCACTGTCTTATCTATCTCTCCAACCCCTCAGTCCTGAAGAACTACTTTCTGTAGATTTCTGAATCTATTTTCTATGTGTATGTATTTGCCTATTCTGGACCTTTTATGTAAATGAAATGATAAAACACATGGTCTTTTGTGACTGGCTGCTTTCACTTAGCAAAATGTTTCCAAGGTTCACAGATACTGTGGCCTATGTTGTTGCTTCCTTCCTTTTTGTGACTAAATAATATTCCATTGTATGGAAATTACACATTTTGTTTATCCATTTATCAGTAGATAGACATTTGAGCTGTTTTCACCTTTTGGCTATTTTGATTTTTTTTTTTTTAAAAACAGAGACAGGGCCCACTCTTTTGCCCAGGCTGGAGTGCAGTGGCATGATCATGGCACACTGCAGCCTTGAAATCCTGGACTCAAGCAATCCTCCTGTGTTGGCCTCCCAAAGTGTTGGGATTACAGGCATGAGCCACTGTGCCCGGACTGTGTATAAGTTTTTATGTGAACATGTATTTTCATTTCTCTTGGGTATAACCTAGGAGTATAATTGCTGGGCATCTGAGCTATTTCTTAAATGCTGGAAA